CTGAGCTCTGTGCTCCGGGTGAAGCCGGCGGGAGGACACGTGTCTCCCCTCACAGAACCTTTCCCAGGCGTCAGGGCTCCTGTTGACAAGCCCTAACGCAGCGCCGCTAAGAATAGCTGCATCCTGAGCGCATCTCCCACCCCGGAGCAGGTCATGGCCAGGAATCCCACTTGCTCTGGAGCATGGAGGAGGAAAGCCGGGAAAGCCCCGGGGTGCTGCCTGCGGAGCCCCACAGCGTGCTGCAGGGAGGGGGCTGCTTCTCCACAGGGTATTTTTATGCTTCAGCCTTCACAGTTTGGGGGGAGGGAAAGAAACGTCTTTTCTTCTTCTTTTCAGCCTTCACAGTTTGGGGGGAGGGAAAGAAACATCTTTTCTTCTTCTTTCTCGTCCTTCTGCTGTGTTTTTCCTACTCTTTTTTCCCCAGTGAAGTGGAAAATGGGGAGAGGAAAAGCCCAAGCAGGTCCCCCCCCATTTCCATTGTTGAGCTTCCCTGAAGGGGCCCAAGCAGCTGTCTGCACCCCAGTGAACATTCATGAGCAGCACTTTCATCTCCAGAGCCCTTGCAGCTCCCACCTAATGAATCCCAGCACTGGGATCCTCCAGGAAAAAGAAGAACATCTCCCAACCGTGACTTACTCCATTGAGCACTATGACCGACTCCACTGGTGTTAGGGATGTACAACCCTAAGGCACTGATTGGGGTTTCTCCAGACAAGATGCTGTGTATGTACAGGCAGGAAAATGAGTTTCTGGTCCCAGGCTGGGGACATAGGGAGGGACACGCTGGACCTGGGAGCTCCAGCCCTGAGCCATCTCCCACCCAGCACAACTCAGAGACTGGAGCCAGCAGCAGGGCGGTGCTATAATTAAAGCTGTTACCAGCCGTGCCTCACTCGCTCCGTGAGCAGGGCCATGGAGCTCCCGCCCCAGCAGCTTTAAGGGTGATTTCTAGCCTGGAGAAGGCCAGGACCTCACCAGCATCCACAGCTCAGTGGTCTCTTTCCATCCTGCATTGACTGTGCATGGTCAATACCTCCACTGGTTACAGCTGGGGGACAGAGCCAATGGACGTGGCCACAGTCCCACACAGGGAGACCTGTGGCCTCTTCCCAGCTTGCCTGGGTCCCAGGAGGACCGAGAGCCTCCATCCTCCTCCTCCTGCTGCTCCAATTCCCGTTTGAGGTCCTTAACCCCAGCCACTGCTGCTCTGCTCCTCACCTGGTGCCCCCAACCCTGCAGGAAGCTGCTGGTGCTGCCCTGGCTGAGAAGCTGCCAAAGAACAGAAAGGGATGGCCAAGGGATGTGGTCCTGCATAGCACAGGCTGCTCCTGGTCATGCTGGTGGGAGAACAAGGAGGAAATCTGGGTGAAGAGGTGGGAGCAGGGACAGGGATGGGCACGGTGACGCTCATTTCCCATGGGGAATGAGGACCTGCAGGAGGAAGCTCAAGCAGAGGGGGATGGAAGCAGCTCTCAGGCAGGCACAGCAGCATGCAGAGGCCCCCCCAAGGATGCCACACACTGTCCCAGCTCCTAAATCGACCCAAGGGGAGGAACGTGCTTGTGTCACACTCCCCATGAGACAGAGGAGGGCGAAGGCTGCTGCTCCCTGGGGCTTGAAGGCTTTCCCAACCCTTTAGTGATTCATGGCCAGGGCTGGGAGGAGAACATGGATGGGGAGAGCAGGAGGGAGGATGGGGGAGCCCATATGGAGACGCTTCTCCCAGCGAGCAGCAAGATGCTGAGCTGGCGCGGGAGCAGGAGCTCAGCGAGACAGACGCGTGCTGCTCGCGCCAGGCAACCCATGTGTGAAAACCTGGGGAAGGTGACCTTGAGCAGCAGAGCAGAGCGACAAGAGCAGCAGCAATGACACACGGAGATGCTCTCCCCGTGAAGGAGGAGGGATGGAGGGGAATGAGAGGGACAGGAGGGATGCAAGCCCTGCACGGAGCCTGCTGCACGCTGTGGGTCCAGGGGGAGGACGCTGGTGCCTGGAGTCACTCTGCTCCTCCCTGTCCATCTCTAAAGCAGGAGCCTGTCTCACACAACATCCCCCCCAACCAAGGCTGCTCTGTGTGCCCCATATCAGCAATGGGGCTGCCATTCCCATCAGGAGCCCTGCAGCTCCTGCAGTTACCCAGCAAACGCTCCCGAGATCAGAGCAACTCTTTGCCTTTACACAGCTCCAGCTCCTGGCTTCTAACATGGCTCCAGCACCAATTCCTGCCTTTGGGTGCTCTGCTCCATCCCCTGCTGCTGCCTGGCCCCATGTGCCACCATGGGTCTGCTGGCCCCAATGCTGGGACGTTTGCGAGCAGGGATGCGCAGTCCCATACGTGTATCCATGCATGGAGCAGGCTGTGCAACCCTATGGAGCCCCCACCACAGGAATAGCTTCAAATGCTGGCAGGTCCCCAAAGGCAAGGGGTGACCCTGGCCCTTGGGAACCTTGGTGCTGGGCAGCCACCAAAAGATGGAGAGGAGCCAGGGCTCACAGATACCCACAGCCAGAGGGACACAGGGCAGCAAGAGCGACAGAGTGGGTCTCGGACATGCCACCAAACCAGGCTGCAGTGGGGCAGGACCATCCCTCTGGCTATAATGCCCACAGCCACCTCCAGCCCAGGGAAGGCCCTGTGCGTTCTCCCTGTTCCAGGCCAGGATCCATCCAGCCGCTCTGGGGTGCTCAGGAGAGCGTGGGGACAGTCCAACCCCACAGAGAGGACAGGGCATTTCAGTAGGATGGGAAAGAGCCATGGGAATAGCATCAGAAGAGGGTTGTTGCTCTTGTCTGCACCATGCTGCAAGGATAGACACTGGTTTCTTTCCCCCACCAAGGCAGCAGCAAGGACATGAGAGCCCAGGTAATAACTGCACCAACAGAATGGGGGACTGAGCCCCAGTAGCCCCCTGCAAGGCTTTGGGGAAGGGGAAGACCTGCTGCTACAACCTGCGTCCAGAGAGCCACACAGGTCAGGACAGCACCCCTGAACCTCCACTCTCCCCCAGCCAAGCCCCACGTCCCCCAGCACCACCCCTCCGCCTACCTTGCTGCAACGGAGCAAACCCTTCTCTCCTCTGCAGCTCCTTTTAATCCTTCCTCTTCCAACAAGGAGCACCTGGGCTATTCCCCAGCTGTGCGGACATGCCCCCAAACCACCCCAGAAGGGAGATGGATCAAGAGCAGGGAGTGAGTTTGCAGTCCCAGGCTGAGGTCAGGCATTCCCAGCCACTCTGCCTTGCCATCTAGTGGGATGAATGCGAAGGACCAGTGCTCGGCGGGGGGAAACGTTGGCCACATTCCATCCCGCTGGAGCCGGGCCTGGCTTGCAGCAATCCTTCATCCCACCGGAGCAGATGAGCTCACGGGGGGAAAGGGATAGTGCAGAGGTGCCAGGAGGATGGATGGGGAAGGAGAAGAGATGCGGGGATAGAGAGATAGAGCTGTTTCGAGGATGACATGACAACAGCGGTAATAAATCCTGGTGGTTTAACCTGAAAGGAAAGGCTGGAATAGCTCCAGATCCTCATTTACCAAGGGCCCTGGCTTTTGGATCAACGTAATCTGTGTCTGGGCTGGGTTTTGCACGGCATAGAGAGGCGAGGGGAGGTTGGTGGTGCACACACATGCAGGGATGAGCACCCAGCACTGTTTGCAGCCCGGGGAGGAGAAGCTGGATCTTCTTGTGAGGTTTCCTCCAGCCGCCTCAGTTTGCAGCCCTGGGCCTGGAGGATGTGGGCTGAGCTCAGTGGTTTCAGTTCAGGATGTTGGATTCTCCAGGGATGTGTCATCCCTCTCACACTCTGCATGTTTGTGACAGGGGTATAAAAATATAGAGGATGAATACATTACATTTAAAATATCTCACCACTGGGCAGCTCTTTGCGGGTGCTGGAAGCTGGGATGAGATAAGATGCTTTAACTCCATCCAAGGGATTCTTTCTCCTCCTGCTGCTGGACCTGGGGCTGTTTGGCTCACAGGCTCCGGTGCTGCTCCAGGGTTTCTCTCCCGCCGAAGAAGCACCGAACCCAGGGACCTAAAGGCAGGGGCAGCCTCCCTCCAGACTGAGCTCAAGCAGGAGACCCCATTGGGTGCCAGGTCTCTTCGGGGACTGGGGTCCCTGCAGAGCATGTCCATGGGACTGCAGCAGGTCTGGGGTGAGGTGATGGAGGACTCAGCTGCCCTGTGCTGAGGTTTCCTATCGCATCCTCTTTTGGAGTACATAGGGACGGCCCAGCAGTGTCCAACACTCCTCCTGAGCCACACACACCCCTGATGGACCTGGGGACCACTGAGGGGACAGCACAGGTCAAACTCGATGTGGCCAAAGCACCATCTCGCTGGAGCGATGCAAATCCTGATCCCTGTCCAGGACACCTTGAAAGCAGACACAGAAGGGTCTTCCCGAGGCCCCAGGAGGGAAGCGGGTAGGAAGCGGGACACAGGGAAGTCCCGTCTTTGCTGGGCTGGATGAGAACTAGACACTGACTGCATTTTTAATGTCTTTGCTTTATTGGAGCTGCCCATCCCCTGCTCCATTTGCCCCAGAGCTGAGTTCATTCAGGCTCAGCTCACACTGGGGTTAAATGTGTGTACCTTAACCCATATGGGGCAGCAGGGGCTGGGCTGGGGGCATGGTGGGTCTGGGAATTCTCACCCCTGTTTCCATGGGGCTCAGGAGAAGCGGCCGGTGGGCAGACGGGGCAGGCAGAAATAGGCATTGGGGAAGAGGCTGAGGTTGATGGGGTTGCCATCGAGGCGGATGTCCTCCAGCGCCCTGCGGACCTGGCTGTGGTCCTGGCTGTCACAGAACGTGTCCTCGTGCATTGTCTGGATGTTGTTGTTCTGGCCAGGGAGGCAAAGGGCAAAATCATATTCAAAGGGATGGGATGGGGAGGAAGAGGATGAGGTGGTGGGCTTTGTTAGACATGGTCCCAGTTTGGACTCACCTGGAGGTGCAGGGAGCGCAGGCTCTGGGGCAGGGGCGCTGGGATATAGTCCAGCTGGTTATCGGATAGATGGAGAAACTGCAACTGCTTCAGGTCCTGCAGGAAGAAGGGAGAGATGACACCCTGCTCTGTCCCTCAGCACCATCCCTGCCACCCCTTGGCATGGCTAAACCCATGGATTCATCCCCGCACGCACCCGGAAGGCTTCGTGCCGGAGGCCGGCGCTGGGGATCCTGTTGAGCCGAGCATCCAGGCGGATGATGCTGCGGGGCAGCTCGGGCAGCGCCGTCAGCCGGTTCTCGGGCAGGAGGAGCTCCTGCAGGCTGGAAAGCTGATGGAAGGCGTCCACATCCGCCCAGGAGATGAAGTTGCTGCTCAGGTCTATTCGCTTCAGCTTCTCTGGTGGGACAGGAGGGAGGAGATGAAGAGGGAGCCACCCAGAAGCACTTATTCCCCCTTCCCTCACCTGGACGTACTGAGTCCAGTGAAGTCGCTGGCCCGGATTGCACCGATGCGGTTGAAGCGGGCATAGAGGTAGGTGGTCTCTGGTGGCAGTGATGGGATGTGCTCCAGGTCGGCATCGTCGCAGTAGACGGAGGTGCCGATGCACAGGCAGAGCGGGCAGCTGGGCAGGCCTGGGGGTGCAGAGGCAGCCCTTGGCATGGCACAGCTCCCCCAGAGTAC